TTTTTTCCTCATACATATCACATTAATTTCACTCAGTGAGTCATTAGGTCGGGTGACTTCTCGTGAGGTACATTCACATTTGTGAGGTACAACTGAATTTATTTATTTTTAAATCCACTGGCGTTGTTTGTTTTTGTTGTTTTGTTTTTTTTTTTCTAATTTTTTGTCTAATTTTTTTTCCACATAATCTTATACGAGTATCAGATTTTTGGCTAGGAAACCAGATCTTGGTCTCAAGATATACTAACTGCCTTAGCAGTTGTGTCCCCGTAGTTTTACTCGTTTTCCCTCACGCTACCTCTCGGGATAACTTATCCACTCTAGCCCAGCTTTCCCTTTCTAGCCCGGGGTATGGGGGACGGCATGGTCGGACGGGAGAGCGTGTGATGGCTTAATCCAGAAGTCCCGAGTTCGAAAACCCGAGAGAGAGAACTAAAAAATCAAACACCCGCTTCCTTGAAGTTTGTTCTTGAGTGGATAAATTCTATGTGAGCAAATCCAGATAGAAAAGCAGGCTGAAATCGGAGTTGCGTTGGTGGAGGGCCAATGTTACAACTTACAAAGAAGACAAAGAAGAAAGAAAAGCTTGTGTAAGAACCCCTATAATTTCCTCTTAGCAGATGTGCTATACTGTTAGACCATGAGTAGTATTCAACTATGCGTGCTAACTTCATTGTGATTATTTTAATGTTTTAAAAATATCCGCTCTAACCAAACCAACTACACTGCGTTCAATCAACGAACAGTGTTCATCACTATAATTAGAAGTACTCTCGTACTTTCTCAATAAATCGTTAGCTCCGACGCGAGAAAAACAAAACAGCCAACACCAAAAACAAAAATACTAGCAGAATGCCCGTTGAAACAACGGGGATATAAAACTGATGTATGTTTGATGAGGCTTTGTGTCTACAATTAGTGCCTCGTCTAGGATTGGCTTAGATGGATGAGGTCACGGAGGTGGTCACCTTCCCTCCAAGGTATTAGAATGGGCACCGAGAACACTCAACGCCCGTCTAGTCTGTGAAAAGCATTGGGTCAAGTGTTTAATGAGTAAAACAACAAAGGGTTTGGTATCGTAAAGTAGAAACAATCGTCAAAGGGAGGGAGAACAATAAGCTTGTGTTGGTATTTTAAATTATTTTGTATCTGCTCGTTCAAACTACAATAAGCGAAATTGTAATTTATATAAATAATAGCACTGATATGCGTGTATGTATTATATTCTACTTCCACACATTATATTCCTTAACATATTTCTAATACTTTTTTATTTTTATCTTCTTTTTCTTCTTCGTTCTTAATTTTTATTTTTATTAATGTTTAAACTTCATACTTTTCAACACAATCTTGTTTTCATATTTCTTTTCATCTGTTACCTCTACACATTATCCTACACAAACATTAGTGTATATCTTTAACACATCTCTATGCACATAATTCTACAATGAAATATGTACTTTATCTCTCAAGCGCTTATCCATATAGATATTGGTTCCCTAAAAATGTGTATCTCATATACTTGTTATGGTACAGTTCCCTTATCGAACTTGACGGTCCATTGGGCAAGTGAAGTAGAGTTCACCTGTTTATGTTACCTCTTCATATGAAGGTATAGGGCTTGTAAGTAGGTCACAACTTCTCGTTCTCGTACTATGCAGCTAGTAGATTTCGAGACCGTAGACTTACAAGTCCTATAGTGTGATCAGCACTATGCCCAGCCCCTTTATTTTTCCTAACATGAGTTTGTACTCATCAGAGCTGAGTGGATTCACGGATGTTCAACTGACTTAAACCCGAATTCGAACCCGAGATTTCCGAGTCAGCAGTCTAACACTCTACCACTAGGCCATTCCGTCCCAATGTTTTTATTTTATATTATCCATTTTTTTCCATCAGTGTCCAAGACACAAGGGACTTTTATTATAGATCCCTCTCCATTAATCCCGATATCTCATCATCTCTTCAACACCTGTCATTTCGGCTCCACGACAAAGGATCCCAGGACATATTATCTAAGACTAAGATATTTTGTCAGAGATCATTTGTCCATGATATCATTAGTCCTGAAATATTTTGTCTGAGATCATTTGTCCATGATATCAATTGTCCTAGGTCTTTTATCCTTGAGATCATTTTCCTTGAGATCATTTGTCCTGAGATCATTTGTCCGTTTGGTATTTTGTCTGGGATATTTTCTCTGATATCATTAATCCTGAGATTATTTGTCCTGATATATTTTTCCTTGAGATCTTTTGCCCTTGGGAACATTTGTCCTTGAGATTATTTGTCCTGAGATTATTTGTCCTGAGATCATCTGTCCTGTGATCATTTGTCCTGTCACCTTCCTTATATATTTTCCCATTTATAATTACATACCCTAACCTTTGACCTCTCTACCCGACAGGCTGCCCCCTAACGTCCATGTCGTCAGGTTCCTGGAAGTCTGTGAGGCCTGTGGACAACTGTTCGGCATGTCGACCTCCAGCTCGTGCGTGTACGACAAGACTTTCGACACCTGGGCCAACTGCCTTCGTGAGGTGGAGTCTAAGAAGTGATTCGCCACCCGATTGGCTGAGCTTCAGTTCAGCTTCCCCGTCACGTGGTCAACACCAAGTCAGACACACACACAAAAAATTCCCATCCTCAAGTTTTGACAAGCTTTAATTATTCATACAAATTAATGAATTTTCAAAACATTTTTAAAATTTTAATAATTCTATGAATATGTTGCAAAAAAATAATAATTCAGGAATCAATGCACTGGACAAAATGTTATCTATTTACACAAGTTTCGTGTCTAAAATTAGAATTTTAAGTAGGTGACTAAAGATTTATTTCAGCACCAGAAAAAAAAAGCACATCAGTTATGTTTTTGCTCTGTTTTGTTTCAACATGTTAAATCATGAATAAAAACATAGTAAAGAAATGAATGGCTTTAGCATGGTGTGTTGTATTAGTTTGTATTTACACACACATACACACACACACACACATATATATATATATATATATATATATATATATATATATATATATATATATATATATATATATATATATATATATATATATATATATATATATATATATATATATAACAGTTTTAACAATGTTGTTTCCCTCATAAATGATAAAACATTCAAAATACGTAGATCAAAGTAAAAAAAAAAACCTCGTCATCTTTTTGATGTAGACCAAATGAAAAATCTTAAAATTCGAAAGAGAATGCTGCATTAAAAATACATGAAGAATAATTATATTAAGCTCCAAAGGGAACTGAAGAGTAAGGTTATGGAGAACAAAAGTATTGACGGCGTGAAAGTAACATTAGAAAACTGAAAATAATCAACAGGAAACCGTACAGAAAACTAAGTAAACAAGATGAAAAAGGATTAATACGGGAGGGGGTTGGACTTTTGTTATGATGTGTGACGGGGAAGAAGGGGGGGGGGTCAAAACATGTCAAGACGTACTTTTACGTTTTAAAAAGTGGCGTTAGAAAGCTGATTTGTAGACGTTATTTCGCTTTTTTTTTAAAGATTTTATTTCTAAATGATAATAAAAAAAATTGATCAATATACTCAATAACGACAGAGTTCAGTTCACATTTTAGACGGAAAGCGGTGTTTTAAAAAAAACAAAAATGGTAATTTTGAGGGGGGGGGGGGCGATTTCATGAAGTTTGACGTCCTTTTTGTGACGATGGGGAAGGGAAGGTAAAAAAAATGTCCAAAAGGGTGACGTCATGGATAGATGACCCTACATAAATTTTTTGTTCATATACCCAGGTAGTAGTGATAACGGTTCTCGTATATATTCTATTCATTTGAGTATCGACCCATATGTCTCCATTACTGGTTAGGTAACTCAAGGCTTACCACTTCAGGTAATAAAATACCAGCAGCCTTAGTGTTAGTTCCAGGTAACTCAAGGCTTACCACTTCAGGTAATAAAATACCAGCAGCCTTAGTGTTAGTTCCAGGTAACTCAAGGCTTACCACTTCAGGTAATAAAATACCAGCAGCCTTAGTATTAGTTCCAGGTAACTCAAGGCTTACCACTTCAGGTAATAAAATACCAGCAGCCTTAGTACTAGTTCCAGGTAACTCAAGGCTTACCACTTCAGGTAATAAAATACCAGCAGCCTTAGTATTAGTTCCAGGTAACTCAAGGCTTACCACTGCAGGTAATGCAAATACCAGCAGCCTTAGAATTAGTTCCAGGTAACTCAAGGCTTGCCACTTCAGGTAATGCAAATACCAGCAGCCTTAGTACTAGTTCCAGGTAACTCAAGGCTTGCCACTGCAGGTAATGCAAATACCAGCAGCCTTAGTACTAGTTCCAGGTAACTCAAGGCTTGCCACTGCAGGTAATGCAAATACCAGCAGCCTTAGTACTAGTTCCAGGTAACTCAAGGCTTGCCACTGCAGGTAATGCAAATACCAGCAGCCTTAGTACTAGTTCCAGGTAACTCAAGGCTTGCCACTGCAGGTAATGCAAATACCAGTAGCCTTAGTATTAGTTACAGTCTTGTCTTAAGGCCGACCTACACAACCACTCACTCACTCCACCGTTAAAAACAGCAAACTTAATACACAATGTTGATAAGTGGATACAATGACACACGAGTTTCTAAAACCCCGAGCGGGTCGAGTCAACACCGTCTCCCACATTCTCACCTCTATGACTTAAAAACTCCAATATTCTGCTTCATTTACTTGAGCCCCGAGTAATCCATTGGGGCAGAGGAAGAAGAATTTATATTTCTTGCATACGAAGGGAGTGTGTGCTCAGACGCCTTTATTTTCCCCAACGTAAGTCAGGTACCCATCAGAGCTTGGTGGACAGTGAAGTCCTACAGTCTCAACTCCAAACCGAGATCAGAACTCAAGACCCTTGGGAAAGCAGCAAAATGCTTTACCGTTCGACGACACTCAAATTGAGTCGTGTTTTTTAATTGTGTTGTTTTTAAGTAAACGGAAGTAAATCTACCAAGATGGCGGTGAATAAAAAAGTGTTTATTTTTACTTTATTCCTACCCTTTTCATGTTCAGGTAAAGACAGTAGAAGCTATTTAATATAGCATGAAACATCAAAAATATGAATAAAATTGTGTATATATTTTAGCCATTAACCAATCTCCATTTCCTTTATTGTGGTTATAAAGACGCCAGTATGCCACTTTGCTTCAAATGTCACCATTTCTAGATATATTATTCGACGGTTATCTCACTATATCGCGTAGGATATTATTATTATTCGATAATGTTTGTTTAGTTTCGTAAACATTTTGTTACTGTAAACTCATAGTTTATTTGACCGTTGAAAAATAAATAAATTCGATTGTATTAAATTAATGTTTTAACTTAATTTTAAGTTTAATTGATAGAAAATTATCAACAATGGAGGCGAGCGAGTTGACGAGATTCCTTCTATAATGTTGTTGACATGGAGTAAAAACTTGCTTTTTAGATTTAGACCGTAAAAAAAATAAAAAATTAAAACTTAAGCCTAAAATTAATTTAGAAATTTTATATTTTTAGAATAAATGCTATAAAAGTTGCAAATCCAGAGAACTTGAAAATAATTTGTTGAGTTTAAGGCTACATTTCTATTTATTTTTATCAAGCCTAAGTTATAACCGGATGTTTCACTTTCGTAAGACAAATATTGATTGGCTGTATAGTAACTTAGTGATCGATAACTATTTGTTTACAAAACTTTGCAGATCAAGTTTTTAAATAACAATGCAAATTTAAAACCCCATGACCTAGTTTTCTATTTTTAGCTTACAATGTGTACAATAAAATCAATGGCGGCCTATCCAATAGCAGGATGCCATTGTTTATGTCGCCATTACACGTGAAAACCAAATTGTTTTTGCTTTTTTTTAAATTTTATTTAGTTACCGAAAATATTAAAAACATCAAATACGTCCAATCTTTAGTAAAGTCCAAAAATAACCAGAAAGACAGGATTTTATAACCATATTTATTGTAACTACGCCGTGCAAGATTTTTAAATTAATTTATGCACCTCTCAAATACCTTTGAGACTTTTCTCGCTCGTGTCCATTAGTAGATCTAGATCTAGACCTAAATATTAATAATAAAGTCGAGTGTACTAATTTTATTTTTTAAGAAACATATATATAAAACTTACAGAAGATTTGCAACAACTAAATCTAGGCCTAGTAAAATAAAATGATTGGATCTACTAAAGTAGTAAGAAGGACTAGAACAATGGTTAGTAGCTGCAATAATTAGCACATACACTTAAAATAATTAGCAAAACGGTACTTAAAATGCAACTAAAACTAATGCAAATTCTCAAACATGTATTAAAAAATACTATGGCGCCAAATAAAATTATGGTTTACGGTATTTCCGGTGGTTTCCGGAACGGCATGACAGACTCCGCATTGGTTTTACTGTTTTTTACTACTGCACCATTCCGGAATAAAAACCGTGAGATTACCCTATTCGACATCCTGGTAATAGATTAGCCCATAACCGTAAAGAATGGGAGGGGGGGGTCGAATGGTAGAGCTTTAGACTGCGATGCCAAAAGGCTCAAGTTCGGTCCTGACCTCGATTCAGCTTGGATCGGTGTTAGCGTTAGGGTTCAGGTATAAGTTATTATAACAGCTACAGGCACTCGTCATGTTAAGGGTTTGGGTTACTGTAGTGACGCTAACAAGCTGGGGTACTTTGTTCCGGTGCTCTTAGAGCTAGTTCCACTTTTTTGTCTCATGAAGGCCTGGAGATCCATGGAAGCTTCCAGTTCGTCATGGACTGGGATGAAAGCAAGGACTCCCTGACACACACCATGTGGTCAGACCTGGAGGACACTGTCCTTAATGTCAGCGCAGCAGCGGCCAAGATATGTAAGTGGGTGTCTGCTGTTGGGGTCATAGGATATTTTTGTTACATCAATGTAGTCTTTGTTTATCGTAATAAAGGTTATATGCAATTTTTTTTTAAAAATGAATTTACTCCATATGTCAAGATATGTGTCTGTTTTACTGTTTTGGGCTCTATGATATTTTTTTGTTGAATGTAGTCTTTGTTTATCGTAATAAAGTTTAATATATTAAAAAAACGAATTTACTTCATATGTCAAGATATGTAAGTGTCTGTCATGCTTTGTTGAGTCATATGATATTTTTGTTACATCAATGTAGTGTTTGATTATCATATTAAAGTTTAATATCATTAACAAAAACGAATTTACTCCGTTTGCCTTGCTGTTCGGGTTATAGAATATTTTTGTTACGTCAATGCAGTCTTCGAAAATGCAATAGAAGTTTAATATCATAAAAAAAAACTAATGTACTCCATAAGCCAAGATATGTAAGTGCCTGTGTTGCTGTTTGGGTCATAGGATATTTTTGTTACATCAATTTAGTCTTTGTTTATCGTAATAACTTTTTAAAAAAATAATGTATTCATTATGTTAAGTAAATGTTCTGTACCGTTGTTAGAGTTTTAGGATTATTATTATTTTTGTTACACCAATGTCGTCTCTTTGTTTGCTGTAATAGACGATTAAACACATTAAAAACAAAAAAATAACTAATTTCCTCCAGATGCTAAGATATATAAGTGTCTGTTATTTGGGTTTTAGGAGAATTTTTTTTAATTTGTAACATGAATGTTGAGTTTTTTTATTGTAATAAAAATTTATAAAGAATATATTTTAATCTGAAAAAAAAAATGTGTTTGCTTTAAGTCAGTTAATTTTGTTACATCAATGTAGTTTTTTATAATGTCATTAATAAATTTAAAAAATTAAAGTTTTTCTGTTGTAAGATATTTTTATTACCTCAATGTAGTGGGGTTTTTCTTAGATTGTAACAAGAACTTTAAAGCTATTGAAAAACCAATAAAACAACTCATCACCATCAGCATTCCTGTAAATTTTTTTCTGTTGCATTTAATTCTAGTTGCTGAAGATATTGTTAACCATAAATATATATGTAAAAAGATGAACAAACTGTATACGAAATGTAACCATTTATTTTTTTCTTTTGTGAATTTTGCATCGATACCTTCAGCGAGACGCTATAAACGTGCAGTGGATGATGAACCGGAAGAAAAAGAAGCGGACGTCCAAGTAGACAGCTCCTCTGGTCTCGGCGATTACGTCAGACACGGCGCCGACTGCCTGAGCCGGCAGCAGCAGCTGGCAGACGCCAACATGGAGGGAACGGCACGGTGGGGCTCGGCGCTGCACGTGGTGGTGATGGTGGAGGAGATGGAGGAGGCGAGGATGACGTGTCACTACTGCGATTCAGATGAGGAGGCAGGTTGGTGTCACCATATGGTGTTGGTGTCACCACTGGGTTTTAGTGTCAACAACAGGTGTCGGTGTCACCACCACAAGGTGTTTGCGTCACCACATGGCGTCGTTGTCAACACAGTTGTTGGTGTCACTACAGTTGTTGGTGTCACCATAGTTGTTAGTATCCCCACAGTTGTTGGTGTCACTACAGTTGTTGGTGTCACCATAGTTGTTTGTGTCACCACAGTTGTTGGTGTCACTACAGTTTTTGGTGTCACCACAGTTGTTAATGTCACCATAGTTGTTTGTGTCACCACAGTTGTTGGTGTCACTACAGTTTTTGGTGTCACCACAGTTGTTAGTGTCACCATAGTTGTTTGTGTCACCATAGTTGTTTGTGTCACTACAGTTGTTAGTGTCACTACAGTTGTTGGTGTCACTACAGTTGTTGGTGTCACTACAGTTGTTGGTGTCACCACAGTTGTTGGAGTCACTACAGTTGTTGGTGTCACCACAGTTGTTGGAGTCACTACAGTTGTTGGTGTCACCACAGTTCTTGGTGTCACTACAGTTGTTAGTGTCACTACAGTTGTTGGAGTCACTACAGTTGTTGGTGTCACCACAGTTGTTGGTGTCACTACAGTTGTTGGTGTCACTACAGTTGTTGGTGTCACCACAGTTGTTGGTGTCACCACAGTTGTTGGTGTCACTACAGTTGTTGGTGTCACTACAGTTGTTGGTGTCACCACAGTTGTTGGTGTCACTACAGTTGTTGGTGTCACCACAGTTGTTGGTGTCACTACAGTTGTTGGTGTCACTACAGTTGTTGGTGTCACCACAGTTGTTAGTGTCACTACAGTTGTTGGTGTCACCACAGTTGTTGGGTCACTACAGTTGTTGGTGTCACTACAGTTGTTGATGTAAGCACCACAGAGTATCGGTGTTACCACCACGGGGTTTCGATATTACCCAAGGTGTAGCTGTCACCACAGTTGTTGGTGTCACTACAGCTGTTGGTGTAGTACAGTTGTTGGTGTCACCACCACAGAGTTTCGGTGTTACCACCACGGGGTTTCAATGTTACCAAAGGTGTATCTATCACCACAGTTGTTGGTGTCACCACAAGATTTTAGAAGAAGTGAAGATGGGGGCAGTGGAAGAGGGGCGTTATTAAATGATCGACTACTAACATGAATGGTTCGGGTTCGAGTCTGGGACTGACTAGAATCTGTAAACCGCGATAACGAAAGTAAATGCGGCTAGGCATGGTGCTAAGTGACCACGCTTTCTCTTTTTAGGCCGAGGTCACAAAAAACTGGTGAACTCTACTTCACCTACCACATCGATATCCAGGTTTAAGATCTTAAGGTTGCCTTAGCTACTAGTCTTTACAAAAAAATGGATTTCAGTATTTTAAAAAGTTGAACCTCCTCCATTATCAAACACTTGCTGTGCGCTCACAGTACGAGTAAAATGTGTCCTTACATTTACAATCTGTTCCTAGCAAAGTGGTTTGTACACTCGTGCCGATCTAAAGCAAACTAAAGGGAAAACGAAACCCTTTTGTTATCTTAATTGCATCTTAATGGGTATCGACGACTTAATACTAGAAGACAGCGGTGTGTTTTATGTCCACAATATTGCTGTCCATTTTTTAAATGAACAGTTTGTGTTCTCGTATTTACTTGGTTTATATAGCCATACATATAGTTGTTTGGGAGTGTCCACACAATTCAGTGTTCGCATCTTTGTTTGGCTTGCTCGCATCCCATTTGATATCCCTACTGATATTTTAGTTACATCTACGTATCTTACATAGTATAGTATTAATATAATGTATACACTATTTTATGTATGTTATTTGTACTATTAAATATTTATTTTCATGTTTGAAACTATTCTTTAATATTCTAATGATTGCATATGCACTTAGGGGGGGGGGGTCGTCGATAAATGACGTCACACGTTAGAAAAAAAATTCACATTTTAAAAAAAAAACTGTTTTAGTAAATTGTAATAGGAATTGATTAAAATACTCAATGTTGACAGAGTTCAGACAAGATTTGGAAAGATATCGATATTTTAAAGAAAAATCAACTGCAATTTAGAGGTCGTAGGCTGAGGTGTAACGTCATTTTATGGGGATCTGGCTTTTTGTGTGACGGAGGGGAGGGGGAGGTAAAAATCATCGAAAAAGCGTGACGTAATTTATGGATGACCCCCTTATATAGTTTCATACACACTTATTGATATTATACATACACAAAAAATGTACTTAGGTTAAATATGAGAGTATAACACTACTTCACTACTTTGCGTTTTTTCACCGCGATAAGCGAGGGATGAATGAACATCCATAGTCTTTGTCCATCCAAGTACAAACTACAAGGCAGCAGTTGTTTTGTTTTGTTTGTTTTTGGAGTTAAATCTTTTAGATAGGTTGCTGTCCCCAGCTATCGAGCCTCATCTGTCCCGGGGGTTCGAACTATCGTCTAAAGTATCGTCTAAATCTGTCATGTTTTCCGAATACGTAATGTGACTGTGTCCATCTAGAAGAGCAGAATCAAATTAGAAGACATCAACGTTTCCTGTCAGTCTCTTACATCAAAAAAACATCAAAATAGAAATAGTAGTGGTTGTGTGAAAAAAAATGGTAAAGTGTGGTAGTTGATAGAACACCTCCCATCACCTCCCCCGAACGAAATAAAATGTATATAATTTATATAGAAAATATATACTTTAAAGAGTGTCCGCCCCCCCCCCCCCGAAGAAAGTCTACCCTTCCCCCCCCCCCCCCCCCCCCCGAAAATTTCAAGTGCCCCCACCCCCCGGAGAAAAAAGTCTGGAAGAAACACTGTATAGGGCCTACAATTTGAATCGTTGACAAAAAATCAGCTCCGAATTTGTTCATCTACTAAGATACTGAAAAGAAACAAGCAACACAATGAACGTGTATTTAAATGTTCATGTCTATTCTCATCTCGCTGGTCTACAGGGAAGGAACAGACGGAGGAAGAGAAAGACGTTCAGAGGGCAGCTAAAATCTGGTACCAGCTCAAGCGGAAGGAGAAGAAGGGACATTATAAGGTAAGGAGGTGGGGCGGCGTGGTCGAATGGTAAAGCGTTTGTCTGCCAGTCCTGTGAAAGGTGGAAAACAAAGGCGCTAGACATAGCTCTGACCACATTATCCCTTCATGAAACATATTAACTCTACTTCATCTGCCCAACTGATCGCTAGGCCTAAAAGGAAATCGCTACAAAAGCTTGTAAAACTTCACACAGATTATGATAATTCAAGAGGTAAAATATCAACGAGATTTTTTTTTACTCTGGGTTTTTCTAATACAAAAATAATGAATATGAGTTGGAGCTATTGTATTGGCAGCATTTGGCCCGCCGTATTCACTCTGTTTGATTCGAGTCATCTCTCCATCAGAGCTAGGGTGGGGATTACAGACTAGAGCCTGTTGGTGACCTATAGACTAGAGCCTGTTGGTGACCTATAGACTAGAGCCTGTTGGTGACCTATAGACTAGAGCCTGTTGGTGACCTATAGACTAGAGCCTGTTGGTGACCTATAGACTAGAGCCTGTTGGTGACCTATAGACTAGAGCCTGTTGGTGACCTATAGACTAGAGCCTGTTGGTGACCTATAGACTAGAGCCTGTTGGTGACCTATAGACTAGCCCATTATGGTGACCGACGGACTAGATAGGGTAGATTATTTTTTAACCTAGTTTTCTATGTTATTTCACAATTTGCCTTAATATCAAGCAATATTCCTTGCAACCCTACTTTACTTCATATACTTTACAACCTCAAATTACATCCCATTATCATTACATAACCAAATTACTTCCTCTTTTTAGAAAACTAGAATTTCTTTACAAACCCAGAATACTCTCACCATTCCCCATACCACACCAGATTACTTCCCCATTTACCAACCCAGATTACTTCCCCCTTTACCAACCCAGATTACTTCCCCCTTTACCAACCCAGATTACTCCCCCTTTACCAACCCAGATTACTTCCCAACCAGATTACTTCCCTCTTTTCATTACCAACCTAGATTACTTCCCCCTTTACCATACCAACCCAGATTACTTCCCCCTTTACCAACCCAGATTACTCCCCCTTTACCAACCCAGATTACTTCCCCCTTTACCATACCAACCCAGATTACTTCCCCTTTACCAACCCAGATTACTTCCCCCTTTACCAACCCATATTATTTCCCCCTTTACCAACCCATATTACTTCCCCCTTTACCAACCCAGATTACTTCCCCCTTTACCATACCAACCCAGATTACATCCCCCTTTACCAACCAGATTACTTCCCCCTTTACCATACCAACCCAGATTACTTCCCCCTTTACCATACCAACCCAGATTACTTCCCCCTTTAACATGCCAACCCAGATTACTTCCCCCTTTAACATACCAACCCAGATTACTTCCCCCTTTACCAACCCAGATTACTCCCCCATTTACCAACCCAGATTACTTCCCCCTTTACCAACCCAGATTACTTCCCCCTTTACCAACCCTGATTACTTCCCCCATTACCAACCCGGATTACTTCCGACTTTACCAACCCTGATTACTTCCCCCTTTACTATACCAACCCAGATTACTTCCCCCTTTACCATACCAACCCAGATTACTTCCCCCTTTACCAACCCAGATTACTTCCCCCTTTACCAACCCAGATTACTTCCCCCTTTACCATACCAACCCAGATTACTTCCCCCTTTACTAACCCACATTACTTCACCCTTTACCAACCCAGATTATTCCTCCCTTTACTAACCCAGATTACTTCCCCCTTTACCAACCCAGATTACTTCCCCCCTTTACCAACCCAGATTACTTCCCCCTTTACCAACCCGGATTACTTCCCCCTTTACCAACCCAGATTACTTCCCCCTTTACCAACCCAGATTACTTCCCCATTTACCAACCCAGACTACTTCCCCCTTTACCAACCCAGATTACTTCCCCCTTTACCAACCCAAATTACTTCCCCCTTTACCAACCCAAATTACTTCCCTTTTACCATACCAACCCAAATTACTTCCCCCTTTATTAACCCAGATTACTTCCCCCTTTACCAACCCAGATTACTTGCCCTTTACCATACCAACCCAGATTACTTCCCCCTTTACCAACCCAGATTATTTCCCACTTTACCACACCAACCCAGATTACTTCCCCCTTTACCAACCCAGATTACTTCCCCTTTACCATACCAACCCAGATTACTTCCCCCTTTACCAACCCAGATTATTTCCCACTTTACCACACCAACCCAGATTACTTCCCCTTTTACCATACTAACCCAGATTACTTCCCCCTTTACCACACCAACCCAGATTACTTCCCCCTTTACCAACCCAGATTACTTCCCCCTTTACCATACCAGATTACTTCCCCCTTTACCATACCAGATTACTTCCCCCTTTACCAACCCAGATTACTTCCCCCTTTACCAACCCAGATTACTAACATTACCTTTACAAACCTCACCTATATTTAACACATCAGATCAAGGAGGTGGACCTGGACATGCATGACGACCCAAGCAGAAACCGTGTCTACGTCACAGAGACCCACACCCTCATCGTCAAGGACGCCACTGTCAAGGACGCCGGGACTTATTTCTGTCGAGACAACACGGATAAGGATCAATACTTCAACGAGAAGATGACAGAAGAGGACCTGGCCACGTTTTTTAAGGTGAGAATAAACAGGAAGTACTCTTGCGAACCGTAAGGTCAATGGAGCAGGTCAAGTAGAGTTCGCCTGTTTCGGTGACCTCGGCATATGAAACGATGGTTGCTCAAAACTATGCCCAGCCAGCGTTACCTTCACTGATGTAAGTTAGGTACCAATTAGTGCTGGGTGGACTCATTGAGCCAGGGATCCGAACTTGAATTTTTCGGGTTAGCAGCCGAAAGCGCTATCATATTTTTAAAGGTGCCCATTCGTTACGTATTGTTTGTGTTGTTGTTGTTCGTTTGTTTGTTTGTTTTTATTTATTTTAACTGCAAAAATCCTTGATTAGTTTTTTTTTTTTTTCAAATCTAGAAAATGTGTCGGGTTATGTCCGCCTTTTTTGACGTCAACTTAATTCGATTAAGTTGAATATGATAAATGTCACATCTGCTTTTTAATACTAACTACTTGTTTAAATATATCTTAACGTTAACCTTTATACTAAGATAAGTATCTATGTTGAGACTACGAAAATAAATAGCAATTAAAAGTTAAACTTCATCGGAACTCAAGCAGTGAAACAAAATAAGCAAGAAAACAAAATAATAAGATCCTATTTAAGTTAGTTAGGCATAGACCTAGTTGTTTTTTTAAAATGTATTCTGCCTGTCTCATCTGGTGTAATTTCCCCCCCCCCCCCCCCCCCAAATCGACCTACATCCCTTAGCCGGAGTCCAGTTTACGGTTCCTCTATCACCTGGATGTCCTAAAGCCGAAGCAAGAGGACGCCATCTTGGTGACCACGGTTGATTCGTCAATCGTCGAGCTGGACGACCTAAAGAACGGCAGCAGGAAAAAGCCGGACCTCCCCCGGGCCGCCCCACCCAGCAAGATTCCAGACACCAACACTTTAGTGATGACGGTCTGGGAGGTGAGTTTAGATTTTATCTAATCTTTTAAACAAAACTTTCGCGATAAGTTTTTACTATTGATTTTTCTGAATGATTTGTATTTTAGAATTCTACTTCAGATTTATATTGTTTCTTTTTCAGATTTCTATCTCAATGATGGGCATATATATGACTTACATTTTAGATGTATTTTTTTTTAGCAGGAGCATTTAGCATTATTTCTATTTTGGGTGCCAATTTCAATAATGGACTTAAGCATGTTTTCTTTTCGCTTTGGTGTCAATTTCTGAAAATTATATCCTCGAACCACTAAGATTTCCATGGTATTTTTTCTGTCCGAATTAATTTGTCCAATTCAGCTAGTGGTCTTTATGACTTCAATTTTTATTTCTAGTTTATATGTATATTTTACCTAATGAACGTTAAAACTTCTATTTTCGATGTCTAATTTAGATGTAGGCCTAAATTTCACTCGACGGCCGTTTTGACTTCTATTTTGATGTCTAATTTAGGTGTCTATTTCACCTGATCACCGTTATAACTTTTAATGTCTATTTCAATTTGTGACCGTTAAGACTTCTATTTTAGACTTCTTTTTTGGATGTCTAATTTAAATATATATTTCACCTGATGACCGTTATAATGTCTAATTCAGATAACTATTTCAGCTTGCGACCGTTAACCTTCTATTTTGGATGTCTAATTCAGATATCTATTTCACCTGATGAACGTTAAACTTCTATTTTGGATGTCTAATTCAGATGTCTGTTTCAACTGATGACCGTTATGACTTCTATTTTGGATGTCTAATTCAGGTGTCTATTTCAGCCCTGGACTACGTGTTCAGTGTGTGTATCTATTTCAGCCCTGGACTACGTGTTCAGTGTGTGTATCTATTTCAGCCCTGGACTGCGTGTTCAGTGTGTGTATCTATTTCAGCTCTGGACTACGTGTTCAGTGTGTGTATCTATTTCGGCTCTGGACTGCGTGTTCAGTGTGTGTATCTATTTCAGCTCTGGACTGCGTGTTCAGTGTGTGTATCTATTTCAGCTCTGGACTGCGTGTTCAGTGTGTGTATCTATTTCAGCTATGGACTGCGTGTTCAGTGTGTGTATCTATTTCAGCTATAGACTGCGTGTTCAGTGTGTGTATCTATTTCAGCTCTGGACTGCGTGTTCAGTGTGTGTATCTATTTCAGCTCTGGACTGCGTGTTCAGTGTGTGTATCTATTTCAGCTCTGGACTGCGTGTTCAGTGTGTGTATCTATTTCAGCTCTGGACTGCGTGTTCAGTGTGTGTATCTATTTCAGCTCTGGACTGCGTGTTCAGTGTGTGTATCTTTTTCAGCCGTGGACTGCGTGTTCAGTGTGTGTATCTATTTCAGCCGTGGACTGCGTGTTCAGTGTGTGTATCTATTTCAGCCGTGGACTGCGTGTTCAGTGTGTGTATCTATTTCAGCTCTGGACTGCGTGTTCAGTGTGTGTATCTATTTCAGCCGTGGACTGCGTGTTCAGTGTGTGTATCTATTTCAGCCGTGGACTGCGTGTTCAGTGTGTGTATCTATTTCAGCTCTGGACTGCGTGTTCAGTGTGTGTATCTATTTCAGCTCTGGACTGCGTGTTCAGTGTGTGTATCTATTTCAGCTCTGGACTGCGTGTTCAGTGTGTGTATCTATTTCAGCCGTGGACTGCGTGTTCAGTGTGTGTATCTATTTCAGCCATGGACTGCGTGTTCAGTGTGTGACAAGCCCGGTACGAGACGAAGGCTGGGCGAGTGTACTGTGTTCAAGTTAAACGTCAGCAGACAGGCCAGTCCATTGTTTCTGGACGTCGTCCTGTCATCCTTCAGACAGGGGATCCCTTGCTTGTTAGTAAAATGTTATCTTCCTTTTATCTACTGTTATCTACTGTTTTTACCTCCCTTTTTATTTTTTTTATTACAACTTTGGTACATATTTCATTACAATTTAGGGGTCGGCGTGGTCGAGTCGGTAAAGCTCATGATTGCTAAACCAAAAAGTCTCGAGTTCGAACCATCGGGCAGATGAAGCTCGTTAGCCTTGTAATTTGTTCTTAGTTGGACAAAGGCAATGGAAGCAAATCCAAAAAGAAAAGCAGGCTGAAATCGGAGTCAATGGCCTCAATAGCGCATAACCAGTTGACCCGTATACTTAATTGTAACTAAAATTAAGAACAAAGAAGAAGAAGATTATAATTTACCGTCGTCAGAAAAATCATGTCAGGAAAGAATGAAGATTAGCGGCGTTGTTAGTTAAAAGATGTGTTGAATCTATCTTAGAAATCCAATAGAGTTTTGTTGGGTTATTATATTGTTATTCTTCATTGATCATTATGTGCTGTCCTATCCTGAAATTTTCACGACCATAGTGGATTATATCGCCGTGGATTTTTTTTAATTTCCAACGATCTCTTACGGGTCATTGCTAACCCTTAAGTTTTAATGTTGAACCCCAATGATATTTGTTAAACTCACTTGTATCCAATGTCTCTATGTATATACCTTATGGATTATATTGTCTTTGTGTGTATTATATGTATATGTGTATTTATCTTGTGTGACGGTGTGGCCTAGCGGTAGAGTGCTAGACTACTAATCCGGAAGTCAGTAGAACGTCCCTGAGTACACTCAGCTCAGATGAGTACGTAGTTCACGTTAGGGGAAAGTAAAGGCCTTCATGTGCCGAGGTTACAGAATCAGATGAACTCTACTTCACCTGCTTCATAGACCTTTAGTTTCGAAAGGGAACTTTACTTCTTTACTACGCATTGACAACAGTGTTTCTTTCAGACTTTTTTCTCCGGGGGCACTTGAAATTTTCGGGGGGTAGACTTTTTTCGGGGGGGGGGGGGGAACACTGTTAAAAGTATATATTTTCTATATAAATTTCATTTCGTTCGGGAGGGGGGGGGGGCGGTAGACTTTCTTCGCCGCCCCCCCCCCCCCACCCCACGTCCCCTAAGAGATGCCTGGAAGAAACTCTGCTTGGCCGTATGGATTCCACAATCTACATGTCTACATATTAACCTTGTTGATCTGTATGTGCATGTATCGTGTGAATCGTGTCAACATATTTACCTATTTAATACATTTGTTACCTGTGCGAACAGGTCCTCGGTGTTTGAAGGCCACGAGACTCTACGAGATATCGTCTCGCGACCAGACGAGATCGAGGAGGAGGAGTGTGAGGTGTCGTGTGCCAACTACACCGTGGAGACGGGCGACCTCGTGTCCGGTCCCGTGGAGGGGAAGATCAAAGAGAAGAACTTCAAGGAGCGGGAAGGCATGGTGATCGTGCTCAAGTGCCCACACGCGCCGGTGGATGTGCCTGTGGCTTGGCTAAACGGTTCAAAGTATGTTTTGTTACTAGTTGGTTCGACCCGTTCATGATTGGGGTTATACGGACAGGGTGGTTGCATCGCGACAACTAATTTTTTAGTAATGAGATATGCAATGAGAAGAGAATTTAAAATTCCAAGTAGGTTGTTTTCTCATTAATATTAGGCTCGGTAAAAGTTGACATTATAAAAACAGTATATTTATTCTGGAAAGGGTTTGTAGCACAGTGCCGGAGGGTAAAGCTTACGAATATTAAGGAGTTTGGAATCATGGCTGGAATCCACCCAGGTCTTTTGAGTACCTGACTCACGTTTGGGAAAGTAGAGGGGCTGGGCATAGGGCTTTACATACCAAGTTCACTGATACAGATGAACACATGGATCATATATATATATATATATATATATATATATATATATATATATATATATATATATATATATATATGTATATATATATATATATTTATTTATTTATTTATTTATTTGTTTATTTAAATTTTTATGTATTTATTTACTTATTTATTTATTTATTTATATATAGAGAGGTCTTTATATATATATATATATATATATATATATATATATATATATATATATATATATATATATATATATATATATATATATATATATATATAATAGTATGACTTTTACAAAAAGAATGTTTCCAGAGTACTTGTGGGACCTTGGCTGAAAGACTCTACAAATGGCCGCGTCAGTATTGACGAGCACAACGTCCTAACAATCCACTCTATATCCCTCTACGACGCGGGTCACTACGCGTGCATCTACGGGCGCCGGGTCAGAGGTCGAATGAGGCTAGAGGTCACGCCGAAACCGAAACTGAGCAAAACGTTCCGGTACGCCTACTACCTGCTGATGACGTACCCGTTTGATTTCGTCGTGTTTCTGGTACTGCTGGTGGTGCGTCACAACCAGCGGAAGAAGGTGCTGAACTACGACCTGTTGCCGGATATGGAGTACAACAGCGGAAGTGAAAGCGGAAGTGAGGGGAGCGATGACGAAAAGAAAGATGATAAGTCCGATGCCAGCGACGATGATAAATAGTTGTGAATGTGTAATGCAACTGGGTTTACTATGTAGTTAAGAGTTCCTTTGAAATGTGCAGTGTTATTATAAATTTCAATATGCTACCTTCAACTTCCTTTCTTGAAATATTTTGAAACGTAAATGTATGCCACTTGTGTTTACAATATGCCATAGGCTATAGGTAAATATGATAAGAAAATTTAGTAATTTTTATATTTAAAAAAAAAATCACACGTAAATAAATATGTGTGTGTGTGCATGAGTGCTTGCGTGTGTATGTGTGTGTCTAATATTTATTATGTAACAAATTGCTTCTAACCCGCTCCCTTAAAAATTTGTTGTTTTTTTTTGTGTTGTTTTTCTCTATACTTACTTGTAATTTAATAATTAAGCGAACACGGTTTTTCTTATAACCTTTCATTATTGTGTGTTTAAATAAATAGTTCAAACCTAATTACTTTGTTTCTAATTTGTACATTGATTTGTTGCTGGTTCATTTTGTTCTTTTATTAATGAATGATTAAAAATTGTACAATTAATAGGGTCTAATCAAATATGGAGTAATAATTTAGGACTTACAGCCTATTTTTAAAAGCAGAGAGAGAGAGCAGAAAAACAATCTTCAGAACCGTAAGTAATAGAGTATTTTATTAGTACAATTGTCATACTAAATTATGGGATGTTACTTTTTAAGAAATCTCAGGAAGTGCTTCTATCCAGAGTTTCTTTCAGGCATATGTGATCTTTAAAATAAATGTCCTCTATCCCCCACCGTGTTATGTTTAAAATAAATTTTATCTCGAACCTTGTGATGTTTAAAAAAATGTCCTATCTCTCCTTGTGATGTTTTAAATAAATGTCCTCTCCGACCTTTTGATGTTTAAAATAAATGTCCTCTCCGACCTTTTGATGTTTAAAAAAATGTCCTATCTCTCCTTGTGATGTTTTAAATAAATGTCCTCTCCGACCTTTTGATGTTTAAAATAAATGTCCTATCTCTCCTTGTGATGTTTTAAATAAATGTCCTCTCCGACCTTTTGATGTTTAAAAAAATGTCCTATCTCTCCTTGTGATGTTTTAAATAAATGTCCTCTCCGACCTTTTGATGTTTAAAATAAATGTCCTATCTCTCCTTGTGATGTTTTAAATAAATGTCCTCTCCGACCTTTTGATGTTTAAAAAAATGTCCTATCTCTCCTTGTGATGTTTTAAATAAATGTCCTCTCCGACCTTTTGATGTTTAAAAAAATGTCCTATCTCTCCTTGTGATGTTTTAAATAAATGTCCTCTCCGACCTTTTGATGTTTAAAAAAATGTCCTATCTCTCCTTGTGATGTTTTAAATAAATGTCCTCTCCGACCTTTTGATGTTTAAAAAAATGTCCTATCTCTCCTTGTGATGTTTTAAATAAATGTCCTCTCCGACCTTTTGATGTTTAAAATAAATGTCCTCACCCTCCTTGTGATGTTTAAAAAAATGTCCTATCTCTCCTTGTGATGTTTTAAATAAATGTCCTCTCCGACCTTTTGATGTTTAAAATAAATGTCCTCTCCGACCTTTTGATGTTTAAAAACATGTCCTATCTCTCCTTGTGATGTTTTAAATAAATGTCCTCTCCGACCTTTTGATGTTTAAAATAAATGTCCTATCTCTCCTTGTGATGTTTAAAATAAATGTCCTCTCCGACCTTTTGATGTTTAAAAAAATGTCCTATCTCTCCTTGTGATGTTTTAAATAAATGTCCTCTCCGACCTTTTGATGTTTAAAAAAATGTCCTATCTCTCCTTGTGATGTTTTAAATAAATGTCCTCTCCGACCTTTTGATGTTTAAAATAAATGTCCTATCTCTCCTTGTGATGTTTTAAATAAATGTCCTCTCCGACCTTTTGATGTTTAAAAAAATGTCCTATCTCTCCTTGTGATGTTTTAAATAAATGTCCTCTCCGACCTTTTGATGTTTAAAAAAATGTCCTATCTCTCCTTGTGATGTTTTAAATAAATGTCCTCTCCGACCTTGTGATGTTTAAAAAAATGTCCTATCTCTCCTTGTGATGTTTTAAATAAATGTCCTCTCCGACCTTTTGATGTTTAAAATAAATGTCCTCACCCTCCTTGTGATGTTTAAAATAAATGTCCTCTTCCTCCCTGTGATGTTTAAAATAAATGTCCTCACCCTCCTTGTGATGTTTAAAATAAATGTCCTCTCCCTCCCTGTGATGTTTAAAATAAATGTCCTCTCCCTCCTTGTGATGTTTAAAATACAAGTTCAGAATTGACCAAAAATATTTCTATACTGCTCCATAGTCTGATAGACCATTGGCGGATTGTTTATTGGAAATCCAAGCACAATGCCTGGCCAGAATTTCTTCCAGACAGAGCCCCCCCCCCCCCCCCGAAGAAAGTAACCCCCCCTTCCCCGAAGGAAATGGAATTTATATAGAAAATGTATACTTTTAATAGTGTCCACCGCCCCCCCCCCCCCCCCCCCCCCCCGAAAATTTCAATTGACCCCCCCCCCCCCCCCCCGGAGAAAAAAGTCTGGAAGAAACACAGGGCCCTAGGTTGAGTAGTGCCAGATGTTGCCCAAGCATCAGACCCCCCTCTCTCTAGACAGCTGGTGGACCCAAGGTACAGGACGTTACCTACAGAGGCGTAGCGAGAGGGGGGGCGGGGGGGGACACATGTACCCGGGCGCCGACCTTAGCGGGCGCCAAAATGGGTTGGAAAAATAAATTGAAAGGTTGAGGGAGGTGCAAATCGAAAGTTTGAGGGTGGGGTGCAAATCGAATCTTGAGGGGGGTGCAAATCGCAAGTTTGAGGGGGGGGGTGCAAATCGAAATCTTGAGGGGGCGTACAAATCGAAAGTTTGTGGGGGGGGGTGGGTGCAAATCGACAGCCTGAGGGTGGTGCAAATCGAAAGTTTGTCCCCGGGAAGGGTCGCTACGTCTCTGTCTTAGTATTCTCGTAGTTTTAGGTACTATCGTTATAGGGCTTTATGTGCGTAGGTCACCAATGTCTCGTTTTCGATCTCGCCAGCTAGAATTTTTCAAACCAAATGTGAATACTGTTATTAAACCTGTAAAAAAATAGATAGAGATGTTTCTTCCGCTTTTGTTATTTAAATTCGTAAACAATGATAATCATAAACTACAAGATGTAATCTAGCTTAAATTAAAATGTAACCTACATTAAATTTGAATTTTTTAAAAGTAGAAGCCTAAAATTTGTTTTTTCGAATCCCTAACCAATTGTCCTAAATATAGTTATAAAAATATAATAATATAAATAATAATATAAAATAATAAAATCATATAAATAATAACATAAGCCTACGGCAACTTAATTTAATTATATAATTAGTAATCATTTTTAATTTTTTTTGTTATTTCGGCGCTCTTGGTATTTTGAAATCTTAAAGCGCTGCCCAGAAACAAGTAGCGTCATATTTTTTTTTTGTCATCAATAAAAAATCATGTTCATAATTAAGTACTTGAGTACCGTTACAGCTAGGTTGATGAAATTTCGTTATTATATCAAATTTGTAGATCCGTATAAACTTTTCAGCGATTTCCGATAACCGGAAGTGGAACTTTTTCTACTTTCAATTTTTTTTCAAAAGCCTATAACTTAAGTACAATTTCAGATAGATAAATGAAATTTCACATGCAAGTAAAAGATCTAATTCTCTGCCTTCTGTCAAATTTTGAGTGATTTCCGTTGACCGAGAGTAGTAATTTACGCTATCTCCGATTTCTCAAAAAACGCATGTGTATTTATAAAGTACTAATAATATTCCGTACTATTACACACATTTTGTTTGCAATTTTTATTTCTACGAGATTCAATTATATTTTAAAATGTTTAAGTAATTAAAAATGGATTAATAATCATGTCTATATCCCGAGTTGCCATCCCCTGTGGTTTTATATAAGAATATTCCAGAAAGTTTAGGGGAGTACACCCGTTTCATTTGTGCACTATTTCTATACTTTTTTTTTACTCCGTATACGAGAAAGAACAAAATCTATCCATGAAAACCCTATTGGGTACCCAACAATTTGTTATTGGCACTGTAACGTCTTTAAAATTCTAGCTTGTAATACAGCTAATGTTTTCCCATTTAAACTAGTTAAAAAGATAATTCAATTATCAATAAAATATAAGAATCAGACTACCAATTGCTCATAATAATTATTGTTAATGATAACTTGGTCAACAAAAATGATTTTTCTCACCTCGGTAATGATTTTTAGAATCTATGTATTTTGCTAAAATAGTTACAAGTTGTTTCCCTTAAGTGATCTAAAAGCGGAGAGTGGCTAACATAAATTAATTTTTCCACGTTCAGTTGCTCACATTAAGTTATTAATTTAATGGAAGTTTCATTTTCGGTCGAGGACAGAGGCGTAGCGAGAAGGTGGGAAGGGGGGGGGGGACGACACATGTCCCCGGGTGCCGACCTTAGGGGGCGCCAAAATGGGTTGGAAAAATAAATTGAAAGGTTGAGGGGAGGGGTGCAAATCGAAATCTTGAGGGGGGTGCAATTCGAAAGTTTGTCCCCGGGCGCCGGGAAGGTTTCTGTCCCCAGCTGAAGAGTCTCTCATCTTCAATAATTGTCGCTTTATCATCCCTTTAACCAATCCCCCACCCCACCCCCCCCCCCCCACCCCACACACACACATAATATAGCACACACCCCTCAACCAATCACCACCACCTCAAAACCGCTACTTCATCATACCGCTTCTTCCCTCACCCCCAAATGTTTTATTCATAAATATCTCCTATAATATGTCTAAAATGACGTTTCGTGAATGAAGTTTCTTAAGATACGATAACTTAATATTCATGAAATAAAAAGTACCAGACTCGAGGTTAATAAAGTGAAAACTAGATTTGAAAATGGCATTTTTTATCGCAGAATTTAAACTTCGTTTATCAGCAGAAGACAATCTTTAAGGGTTATAGCAAGAGTGGGTGTAATTTTCGCAGAATGAGCCTGCTTGAACTATTTCACGTCGTTTTATATTTGACTAAAAACTAGTAGTACTTGTTCTATCTGTAGAAGACGTTCGTGGGTCTTGTCTG